TCAAATGACGATAGGCGATTTATTACAATGGCCAGAGACAAATTTATTAAAGGAACTCTTTATTACACATCATCTTTCTTGCCTAGTTACTATTTTCGTCTATTGACCACCTAGAAGAAAAAAATGTTCAACTATTTTTAAATGCGAATGATTTTATATTGAGGCCAATCATATTTAATTAATAATAATGCAAATCTAATATTTGTTTTCTAATGAAGACTATTTAAGTTATGAGCAAAATATTTTTTTTTTATTTAAACAAATATACAATCTTAAAAACAAAGAAACAAAAAGTTTCTACTACGTAATATTTGTCTACAAGATATATGAATTTAGATTGTTTATTGATGTTTATAAATTTCCCAACTGTTAACATTATACTTGAATTACAAACAACAGGTCACAACGAGTGAAATAAGCAATAACGTGAAGTAATAACAAAATGCAAGTGCATCGGCCGACATTTGACATCTGCGAGGGGCGATCTGGCTCGTGATAGTTACTCGTATCTCTACATTATCTCTAGCTTTAATGAGATTTATCTAGACTAAAAAATATATATATTTAAAAACTATAGAACAAAAATCATATTTCGCGCTGCTATTTTACGTCAAATTTGCAATTTTCCTCAACTCGATATTCGATTATATTTGAGGCCGAAGATTCTATTCCTTCAGCAAAAACATATTTATCCTATCTCCATGCGCTTGACCGCTATTAAATTAAAATGTACTTAAAGATTTTCATTCATTCATAGACGAGCAATTAATTTGTTATCGGAGGCGTAATTAGGTATGACTTAAGCTCAACTAAGTAATTCATTATTATGTAAATAGATAGTCAGCTTCGATTTGCGTGTTACTGTGAGGCGCATATATATTATATACTTGCACGATGGATATTATATCAGATAAATGGACGTTATATCTGAAGGTCTCTAAGCCTGAAATTGACTTCTACCTGTGATATAAATAGCTCCTTATGTAAATAATATACACATTTTCCCCTTAAATAGAAATGAATACTGAAATTCATTAGTGGTATATTCTTAAGTCTTCGAATAGTTTAAAGACAGCTCTATAAGTTAAGGTTTTCATTCGTGGAACGGAAAATATAATATATATTTTTTCCATTTTCATTACAAATTGTAGCCCTTTGGTATAATATTCGATGCTCTGTCTATTACTATTTATAAAATCACCTTCAATGTAAATTTCTTGGAACAGCGTCGGCGGTCTAGGGAAAATTGGAAAAGTTTCTAATAAGACATGAAAAGGTTAAAAATGAAGAACGGGAAAATTATTTTCCATCACAATCGATTCGCCGTTATTGACAGGTTGAGGACGCGATTCGAAATTGGCTTAGACACATTCGAAGACTCTGATACACCTCTCTTGTTTCTTTCTTAATTCACATAAATCCGATGTAATTTTGGTTTTACCGCTCCACTAAATAGAATTACAGTAGCCGCGATACATTTTCTCTTATTTATCAAATTCTTTTTAACATTGTGAATTTTTAGTATTTCCCTGACCCAACAGGTAAAAAGGAAACTAAAACAACATTGAAGACTTTAACTACGGCCTGACGTTACAGATGATTCGTAGCGGCTGAAGACATTTCGCGTTATAAACCGTTAAAAAAGTTATATTTAAGTATATTTTGATTAGTTGGCCAAGACAACGCCATGTAAAGCTAAATTCGTTACTTTTTTAAAGTATAGGGTAAAAAACTTGTTTTATGGAGGTGATTAGTTAGTGTAACAGTTTAACATTTATGGAGATTTAAATATTTTATGAATAGGAGCGCTTAAAACCTGAATTTGGAAGTTGGCCTACGTTTATTTAGCAAAGTATTTCAATTAGACCATGTCAATCGGAGATTTATTGAAATGGGCAGAGCTTTTGAAGTGTGTCTTGTCACTAGATTCTTATTTAGATATATATTGCATTTAAATAAACGCTAAATGTTACATTCTGCTCACTTTAATTATATTATAACACTCTAACGGTTACTTAAACACCTCATTTACGAATACAAAATATTTAATTAAGTTAATAAATTAAGGCAACAAATAACAAGGCCTCCATTTCTTAATTAATTCAAACAAATTAGAGATTCAATTTTAACTTAGCTTAGCCAAAAGATTAGCGTTTGATAATGTAAAACAGATTCCGCTGTGGCTTTTCTCTGGAAAAGTTAAGCTTTTGTTAAGTTTTTGTAGTCTTCACAAGTTTATCTTTAATTTAAATGACCGTACAAATTTAGCCACCTTTATAAATAACGGTCAACTACTTTTAGCATTGCTTTAAGCTCTTTAGTTCGAATACCGGGATCTACCTCAGTATTTTGCAAATGACTAAGCGCTAGTTAGTTGGTAACTTTCTCACATCTTTTGTCATTATTATTAGATATACAGAAAGAAAGGGCATAACATTGTGTTTGTTGTATTAAATGTCAGTCAATTTTGTTTTATGTAGAATTGTTATAGCGGCAATAGAGACATATATATTATATAGTTTATGGAAATTTCAACTCGTTAGGTACCGCGCTTTTTGGTGTCAAATTGACAGACAGATAAACAGGTTGTCAGCGAAGTCTTTAAAGTTATAAGTGTTTTTTTTATTTATTTATACTACTCACCGTAGAGTACAAACATACCGGCCGATACTTAATAAAAATACATGTTTCATTTGAACAAGTACTAAATAACGATACTTTCAGAATTAATTAGTAATCAGTCCCTCACAAGGTCAGTAATTATTATGTATAATACTTTTTCCAATTAAAATTCTAACCATTGTTACTAATTAGGCAAGGAAACGCCCATTATCTTGAACCTTATTCAAGGGCGAAAAAGTTATTACAGCGTGGATTTCATCACTTGGAATTAATAGGGAGGCTTTGGATTTCTATTAGGAAACGAACTGACTCATCTTAGTTAAGTAATTGAGGCTTTCAGGTCCATTAAACGTGTGGTCGCTTTGAAATCCCAAAATCAGATAGACAGAGACTTATCTACTTACCTAGCAGTGATAAGAAAGTAAGTAAAGTTAGTACTTCGAGCACGAGCATTACTTTTAGGTATTCTAGTTTCTAGGACTGAACAAATGAAATGGTATTTCAAAATTTGTAAAGTAAGTTATCTGCCTTGTGTAACGCAATCTAGCTATGTCAGATAATTCCTGATGTTTATTTTGTGCTCATTATAATATTATTCTCAATGATTTTATAATTCAGATGGTCTCGTTGGACTAATGCTAACATGGGCCGTTAATTCGATTCCGCGAGTCTATAGTGTTTCTAATCACTTTATATTTTTTCTGATACATGTTCGACTTTTTAAATATAGATGTTTAGTGGGTGGTAGGAATACCGAAATTGGATCACGCACAGTCCACAAATGAAAAAGCCATGATGTTTAACCACGTTACGGTGTCAGTCTGTGGATTTTCGAATATTCTAAATCAAATTAAAGAATATAAGTCAAAATTGCATTTTGTACAGACGTCATATGTCTGGGATATTACACCTTCCCTTAAGTAAACTTCATGCATGTTTGTCCTCCTACAATATAAAGGAATATTAAATTGGTAAAAAGTGTAAAATGCGCAGTACATTACGTTGATTGTCGAAATTATGCAACATTTGAAGCATCTTTTAAATGTTTAGCAGATATTGCTTCACAATACGAAGAGTGCGGCGAATTAATAAATTAAACGGACACAAAGGCGTTTTATTATTGCCCGCTACAAAACGAACAAGATCAAAAAGTATTCAATTGAGAAACGGGGTCGCAACACTCATTTTACAATGCTAGCTACATGCAGTGATGTAAACGCGACAATACAGAGTGTAAAATATTTTATAAGTTAGACAGAACAACTCCATTTAAAAATAAACGGTTTAAAGCGCGAAACATTTTAGTAAAATGACGAGTAATACCCTTCATCTTCCCACTGTGACCACGGCTGCTGCAAAGTATCCGAAACGTCGTCTAGCAGTTAGTTAATTTAATAATATATTTCGAGTTAAACCGTTCAATGTGTACCCCAATCGTAAACTGCAGACAATATTTAAGTAACTAATTCCCAAAAAGGTTTTATGCTTTAAAGATGTACAAAATGTGTAATGTAAGGGTTGCCTGGAAGAGATCGCTCTTTAGCTCTATTATATTTTCTTTTTCGTTTCTCTATTTATTTTAAAACTTATTTTTAAAACTATCTTTAAGATAACATTTGAATATAACAGGTAAATGCAGAATATATTTTGTTTTAACTTTTTTTCTTAAAAGTGCACCCTTGTGTGCCGAAGGCGGTGTAATAAGCAAAAGTAAATCGGCAAGGCCGTCCAAGGCAGGCCGGCTCGGAGGCACGTGGGAACGCTCTCTGGCTGCGCCTTACCACACACCGAACACCTAACGTTCACTTTGTTCTGACTTCAATCGAAGGCTTTGTCTTTATAACACATATCAACCTTAATTTACTAAGACAACTTTTTAAACCAAGCTATGAATATAAATCTTTGATACATATTTCCACATCGCCTAAGCTCTCAAAAATAAAACAAAATATAAATATAACAGCAGATATAAGAGTAGTCACCGTGAAGATAATGACCAGAACCGTCCAAAGAACAAAATAAATAGTAAAACAATTCGAAAATAATTATAATGATACATAGCATACGTAGCAAGTATACATTTAGAAACAGAAGAATTTACAGTACAAATTATGTTGTTAAAATCTAGGAAAGACTGTTAGAATGAACATATTTAGAGGAGGCCTACAACTGACAGCGTTCCTTATAAAAAAATAATTTAGCTAAAAATCAGTTTAGTTAGCTATTTACAAACATTAATTACATTAACTGTAGACATTTTTTTTTGTTTAGTTTTTCACATGATAAATGTTAAAACAACGTAAGGTTGTTATTGAACACTTTCTAATAATTAATACAGTTATACTCAAAGCATTTAATTTCAAGCTTTTATTGTCAGATCAAATCTTATTTTGTACAATTTCATCGGAATTTTCAATTGTTACTAACTCTTCTGTCACACTTTCTTGACTGCTCGGAAAAGGATCATTTTCATTAACTACAATATTCTTTAACGTTTCCTCTTTAATCAATAGATGTAATATAGATTCAGTGCTCGTTATTTCATTAATATATTGGTCAGATGGCCGAGTAACATTATTATTACTTTCAATGTTTTCCGTGGCTTCAAGTGTATTATTTTCTAATGTTAATTTATTAATGGGAGTTGTCACACTTTCATAGGCTTGAAAATCCGTCACGTTTGTCAAGTTTCCTTCAGCCAATAAATTTAACGAATTGGTGCCATTCGTATTGTCGTCTTGATATAACTCTTCTCGGAGTTCCTTAAAGGTCCCTTTGTTGGTATGAAGGAAATCTGTCGAGTTGCTATAACTTATATTTTGTAGTTCTAATTCATTATTTGTCATAACAAATTCCACATCGTTCAGTCCACCTAAAGTTAGTGAATCGCCAATTATATTTAATATATTCGACTCGGTTAGATCTAGTACGATAACAGTTTTATTGTAGTCATTACTATTGTCTTTTTTTAGAGAACTGCTCTTTTTGTTATTAAAACTTCGTTTCCTACTTCTCTTCTTGTCCACTCTAGCTGCGCCCAATTTTATTATTACCTTCGAGTATCCATCGTGATCTACAATATTTAAGATTAGGGAACTCGGAATTTCATCGATTAGTAATTCGTCATGTTCTCTAATAGATCTTCTTTGGCCCTTAACTGGTGCTAAAACTTTGCTTATGTTTGCTTCGTGTGTATTATTGGTTATTATTTCTGTAACTTGGAAAACTGGAGGCACCAAACTTTGTACCGCGTCACCGGACGAAAAGGAATGCAACCTGGATTTAGTAAAAGATTTTTCTGTTATTGTAATTGTAGTCATATCTGGAACCTTCTCTAAGCCATAATCGAGGTTATCACTGTGTAAAAGCTCGGTGAGGAATGGTGCGTCTATCTAAAAAGTTTATTGAAAGTGTAATTAGACAAATTTTAGACTAGTGCTTAAAAATATATTAATAGAATACATTAAAATAGAACACTGAAATGGTTTGAAACGTGAATAATTAGTTAAACTTATTTAAAAATGATTTTAACTACAGCCCGACGTTTCGGCCGTAGTGTCCCTGTGAGCGTTCGAAACGCTTAGAGTTTTACTTAAATGTGTACTACTCGCGTATACTACAGACAGTATTTAACTGAAGTCATATACAAAGTGTAGGTACGATGATCGTGATCTTAGTTTTTTACTATACCAATACAACAATGACTTATAACGGATACTAATGTTAAATATTGTCTGTAGTTTTCGCGAGTAGTACACATTTAAATAAAATAATTTTAACGGTTTAAATTATGAAGTAATTAAAAATAACGCGTTGTACACCGTTTTAAACTATTTTATCTAAATATGTTAATGTTATTTTAATAATTGCGAAACAAAAAAAACGTACTGATATCAATCTTCTACCGGTTTCTGGGGCTTTTGCCTTGGGGTTGACAGACTTCATCAAGTAGCAAAGAGCCCCAAATGAAAGAAGTATTATAGCAGTGGAGGCGATGAGAAACACTGGACCCAGTTTTGGCATGATTTATAAGTTTTGAGAGCTATAAAAATGTATTAAAAACAATGTTGTGAGCATGGTGAAAACAAACTTGTCCTTTGGGCACATTTTGAGCGACGTCTTTCAAATTTCAATTTATTTCTAGAGTATTCCTTTATATGCCAAGATATATATCAATGTCAAAACCCTGTCTTGACAAAAAAATTGAAAATTTCATAGTGGTTCAATATCGTTATTCACAGAACTAACACCAGTTATTATTTTTTTTGAAATTAAAAATAAATCTTTTTTTAACTCACTATCGGGCTTACTTTGTTTCAAAAATAAGAAAATGCTTATATTTTTTTCTGTATTATTCTACTTCTTGTTGTATGTTCGCTTAATATAATAAAACGGCAATTACTTCGCATACGTTTTATTAATATAATTTTACTTATGCTAATTGATTTAAAAAGTTGCTCCAGGAAGTATTAGTGATATCGGTGTTATTTGTATCTATATATACATAAGCAGGCTGAAATAAGGAAGAGTTTCGTTTTAGATATATATTTTACTAGCTGTGCCCGCGACTTCGTCCGCGTGGAATGGACTTGGGGTAGAATTTTTAATTATATTAATTTATGTAAGGGCGCATATAAGGCAGCCAATCTATATTGTAAGTGCTACTTTGCCGCAACACTCTAACCTCACATCACTCCTACTCTAACTCCCACTCTCATTCCTACACTCACTCCCACTCCCACTCCTATTCCCAAAAAGCCAAAGAAGAAAGTTTCATTGTTCTAGCTTCAAAAACCACGAATTTCTATACAGACTTTCATCCCCTTTTTCAACCCCTATCAACCCTTTTTTGACATTAAAAAGTACTCCTATGTCCTTTCTCAGGCTCTAAAATATCTGTGTACGTTGTTCATTCAAATCAGTTCCGTAGTTTCGGAGTTAAAGCCGGAGAGACAGACAGACAGAGTTACTTTCGCATTTATATAGATTATAATTATATATACACGAAAGACATCTTTGAGTGCATTTATGTATCTACTCATTATAGAAGGATGGCGAGTAGACGTATATAAAGAAGAATTAATATTAAGTATAGATATAGATCAACGTTAGCATTACCAATTCAACTTCATTTTGTTCGTAATATTTCATCATCGATGCTGCTTTAGTAGGCAAATTCCTCAGGTTTGGGTCCACTTGAATTAGCAAATAGATGAAGCTCATAAAGAAACATAGAGTAAGGACAGTAATTAGGAAAACAAATAGTTGAGCTTTCATTTTAAATAGTAGGATTATAATTACATAACCCTCGTACTATGTTTATTATATAAGAATGACAAAAATGCCATAATATAAATGACAGTAGCAGATACCATTAAGTAAAAACTCTTTAAAACATTCATGTGGCTTTATAGAAAACTCTGTCACTATTACAATAAAAAAGACAATCTTCACCAATGATTCGTAGATAACACCAAAGGGAAGATTGTTATCGATACGAAAATGACACATATAGAGGAAATCAAATAATCCTTATCACATTACGTTTGGCGAATTTTGAGCAAACCAAGAGTAAGGTAATTATTACTTATTTGGAGCTAGAACAAAAACCGAGTGCACTAAAACACTAATCTATATTTATTTAAAAGATTTAAAAGAAGGAAAGACGCCAAAGCAGCCAATTTCTTTGCTGCAGGTCTTTTAAGGTGTGAATTGTAATGCATGAGGTGCATGAGAGGAGATGAGGAGGTTGTGAATGATTGTAAAATATTACATAATTCGATTGTTGTAGACGTAGACACCAGCAAACAATGCCGTCGCCAAGTTAAATTCTATTCGAAGTAGATTTTGATACGTTAAAGAAATAACGTTGGTATTATTTTCAGCCATGACAAATAAGTCCGAAAGAAACAGTGATACCGATTCCGAGATGGGGTCAGCTCGCTCAGATAGAGTTGGTAGACTTGGTCAAATTCTATGCCCCGTTATATGTGCACTATTCTTGGTCAGCCTATTCGGAATTTCTTTCATAGGATCTAAGCTGTTATACGACCATACGTACAGTGTGGGCACGTTCTGTACAACCCGAAAATTTGATTTTGCCAAACTTTTTGATGTTACAAATAATAAAACACAGACATTTAAAAATTCCATGTAAAACCCCGTTTTTCAAAATAGTCTGTTGATATGTAAACCTCTTTTGCTGATTTATACGCCATCTAGTATTCCAATGCGCAACTTTATAAGTAACAAATATGCTTAGTTAAATCGTTTTGTGACAATGATTAGTAGTAGACAATAGATGTCACGTTTTTCGGAGATGTAATTTTTTGCCTGAAGTTATTGTAATTTAAAATAAATTTGATAATTAAGCTTTTATTCTTCTCATTACAGAAATTAAAAATATAAATTATAATTATGTGAAATGTTTTGAAACAGATATATTGTAAAATGACTATCTGTGGACACTGACGGTGACAGCTGACGTGTGTTGATATACCTACCGAATCCAATTTATAAAAAACATGGCAAAACCGCAAATCAATGTTTATAAAATTTTGTAATTTGTTACTTTTATAACTAAGAACTTAGTGAAATATTAATTAGTGCTGTAAATTTCTGTATTTTGTTCCCATTTGACTTGGTGATATCAAGTTGGAGTGATATTATGTAAGTCTTTTAAATTGTTATTGATCTTTGTAAGTGAAGGTCAGTGTTAACCGGCTTTTAGTATTATAATATTGTTTTGTGTTTATAAATTATTAAACTCGTGTTTCCGTTAATCGTGTAGAACATGTATAAGTATGTATAATTGATGCTTGTACGCATATAAGCAATAAACTGCAATGATAATAATTTAATTCGGCTTCGCGTAATATTTTTCTCTCATCTCAAGTACAGACGAATGACCAAATTTAAAATGTGTAGTGTTTAGTCATCATTATATACGTCTTTTATAAATCTTTATCAATTTGACCTCAATTTAAGGGTATGCCCTTTCTTAAAATACAAAAGTGTTTTTTTTTGTTATTTGAGTATACCAACATAACTAGAACTGGCTTATTTCAAGATGTGACAAGAACTTAAATTAAATAATATAGTGGCCAGTAGTCTCTGTTATATGTATTCTGCATCTTTATTATTTACTAGGTTCTGAATTTAACGCATCAACAATCTCTTCCGCTTTATATATTAGTATAGAGACATAATTTACAATTAGAGCTACTGAGTCTTATGTTCGTATGTTTTTAACCTCAGAAGATATGCACTAAAGGATGAAGAAAAAGATCCAACTGGCCTTTTACATTTCATATTGCTGTCCACCAAGCATAATACTATCAAAGAGATCTATTTCCATTGATATTTAGCAATTTCTAAATTCATTGAAATATTTATTAAATCTGCTTATTGCCCTATCTGTTTTTGGTTTTTGGTACTCTAATTATCCCCCGAACTTATTAATATTAGTCATTTACACTTGATGGGGATCTATAAAAACCTTTTCATTAATTTATATGGTCATACTATTAGATAATTTTTTGCTTAAATATATGTCACACCAGATGAAATGCTGTAAAGCAGTTAATATGGACCAATGGTTAATTATTTATATATGTATCATAGCAATTTATTTTTAATAGAAAAGGACAAACAAATAAGGTTCATTGAAGGTAGGTGAAATACTTCACCCATACAACGTTTAAAAGAATAGCTCATAAGTAACAAATTAACCTAGTTCATACCTAATTATTATTTTATTTAGTCTTAAATATTATTTTTTGTAAGTGCTCACTATTTTGACAGAGTGTTCCCAGCATCATTAGTCCAGATCTCAATTTAACATCCTTGCATTCTGTACCCAAGTTGCTAAAAACAGTACTATAATAAACAAGTCTTAGCACCAAAATCTATTTACAATTGTAGCATTCTCAGCCCTTCAATTTCTCCTCTGGGGTCACTTGATAACATCTGTCACACAATTGAATTTACTCGAGGTGTAGCCCAAGTCCTTGCTTTGTTAATGTTACCAGTGGCTTTGTAATGCAAAGTGGATTGTCAAGTGATTGTAAATGCTAAGATGCCTTTATTGTTGGAGATTTGGCACGGAAATGACAACAACATAATATATTTCACCAGCCATTTTCCTCATGTCTACCTCTTATTAGGCATCCGGGCTACAACACTAGACAAGCAGAACAAGTATGTCAATTTCATTTTATTCTTATGGTGTTTTCCAACACGTATGTTACACTAGCTGTGGCCGCGGCTTCGTCCGCGTAGAAGTTATAGCAATAAAATTAGTTTTTGAAAGCTCAACCCTAAAATTTGAGCGTCGCGTCACGGCGTCGTCCGCGTCCCGACGTCACGAAAAGAGTTTTTCAATTTGAACCAGTAGTACTGGGATTAGCGCGTTCAAACAAACAAACAAACTCTTCAGCTTTGTTTATTAGTATAGATTTTAGCTTGATATATGTTAAAACTTTAAAAATACATACTAAGAAAACCTTCTTAAACCCGTCTAGCCTCTGTGAAACAGATAGTGCCCTTAAACATAATAGGTGTGTTGCAAATTGCAATGCAGCGCATATTAAACGATAGCGCGACTGCTGAATCGCGTCAACATTTTAGTATCATCGTCGCCAAGTCGCCTAGTCGCCTAATATTTAACTAACCCATTATTATATTATGCAAAGTGAAAATTTCGAGGTGGTGCTATTTAATTATACGAGTGAAAGACTATATACTAGTTATTGATATCGTTATGAGCTTCAACTGCTGAATGTTTAAAAAAACTACTACTTTTATCCTAAAAAGTTGAAAATTCGATTCAGTATGCATGTAGGAAGTCAACAAATTGTATGATATTCGACGGCCTATAACCAATATTTAAAATATAAGTTAGCGCGAGTAAAAACACAAAGCCCAGCGAATGTAGGAACCAAAATGCATTTAATGTAATTGAATAAACACGTTATCAGATAGCTCTTACAGAACCTTAAATATTCCATATTGCTTAATTATAGTTTATTATCAACGTAATTTCGCATTGGAAATATCCAACAATGATGTAGGTAATTACTTCCGTATGCACAAAGCGGGATAGAGGATCTCTGACCCAGTTTCCGGGGTCCATTCGACGTCATCGTGACGTCACAGCTGACACACTGCCCCATTTCTAGGCGGGGGGATGCTCCAGACCCCACCGAGGTGCCCCTAAGTCCCCAGGGCTATTTTAAGTCCCACTACTCCATTCATTGCAGATGCACATGGAGTTGAATGGGCACTGCGCATGTCTTCTAATCGTCTTAGTTGCAATAATCCCTAAATCCTTTAGCTATCTACTAAGTTTTGGAGAGTCATTTAGGTATAAAAAAGGTAATCTTATTACATACACAATGACGCTACTTGATCAAAACGATTTCCACGGGTGAATATTTGTTGCTCTTTCGGTCAAAACAGCTAAATTCTGAATACATTTGGATTAATGCTATATAGGTCACTTTTTATGATCTTTCTTTAGAAACTGTCGGCGAAAACTAGTGTATGTATTTGTTTTATATACACTCATTTTTAGGTAGTATAATGCTAGGTTTAAAATGCGAAATGTATTAATTAAAATAATAAAAACTATCATAATCTAAAGATAAAGGGTGTCTCTGATGTCGAAGTAAAATCGCTACGTTTGACTCGAGAGACATTCTTCATTTTTGGTCTTACCGTGACCACGGCTACTGCCAAGCATCCGAAAGGTCGGGTCGTAGTAAAAATAATTTGTGAATAAGTTCAACAAAAGATAAGATTTAAGACAAATGTACATACGTGCAATAAATCCAACATTGCCTTTGCTGAATTATTTAGCAATAATTGGTATTATCCTAAGCCCATTATCTAATAAGATCACACGATAGAACTCAATACCACGTAACCTTGGATACAAACCCTTTGTTACTCGATTCATTATTTAACCAGCAAGCTAGGTAGGTATGTGTCGTACAACTTAATACCACAATTTAATGCATTTTAACGCTCTTTTTGGAATGCTATTCTAATAATGTTACAGTTTTATATGCACAACATAAATGTTGTTGATAGAGATATAAAATATTTATTTATTTTAAGAAACTTATGGTTTCCACTTATTGGAAACTACTATTGGGTCTTAACAGAGATATAAAGGTATCATGTTTCAAATCGGTGTTCACCATTTCCAATCAACAAACTGCCCACACTATCGTTAGTGTCGTTCGTACAAGAATTTAGCAAACTCGTTTTGAATCGAAGAAGCGTTTTGCCCGCAAATATCGACTTTATCTCTCTACAAATAGCTGTATGTTTTGTATAAACAGTGAAATGCATTCGGCTCGATGTCACGCCTGATCATCAGTGTGTTGTTGGTCTGTGGTAGAGGTGGTCGTGCCGCGTGACGTCATAAGTTTAAGTTTTTATTTCGTGCCAGTGTGTTTTTCGGTGGTGAAGCAGAAGTTATTCACGCTGGATTTTCAATTTGACGGTATGTTATCGCTTTATTTGTATCCCTAATATCTTCTATCAGACGATATTAGATAGGTACTTATTAGCATGGGTATTGTAGGAAATTCCGTTCACAAGTATATTGCTTAGTTATCCAGTTGTCGTGGGCGCTATGAACTCCGCAATTTTATATATAAATAACTAAATTACAATAAATAATAAATAATGTGTTAAAGAACGTCGATGATGTCACGAAGTTTTACCTCAATAGGTCTAAGCGTTTAATCGTCAACGATAACAACATCTATAAGAAAAGGATACAGATTAATTGACATCTACCTCAAAGTGGATTTTAGAATAATACACAATGTGCCTAGTTTAGTTATCCAATTATCGTGGACACTACAACGCATTTACTTAGTCATACGTGTCTTTGTCATTGCTTATCTAATGGTTCACGAAAAATAATTTACGGACCTTGACTCGTTTTATAAATAACAAAAAACTCATGTACCTTTATTGTGTTCGTGTAACTTGTGAATATTACTTATTCAATACTAGTTACATTACGTTACCGACTGCGACGTAGAACTATATTTTCATTACGATGTAGGTTGATAAATGGCAAATTATGTAGGTATATTAGGATACAAAATTGTAGAAGGTTTTCGTCATTTCATAAGTCTTCAGATTATGAATAACTCACATGACAAACAGAAAGAGCATCAGAAACATTTTGTGTACGTATGTAAAAGATCACTGGTACATTGTCCGTACCAGTGATCATCTTCATAATTATCATCGAATTAATCAATTAGCAAGCATGTAGTTGATTAAACTTCTGCGCCCTGCCCGACCAAAACTATTCGATATGTGTAAGTTTTGTACCCAGGACTTGCGTCACTATGACCATTGACAACACACACAGCTCCTGAAATGTTGCTAATAACATATTTTCAATTATTTTTATCAAATAGCCTTTCAAATAAAACACTTTAACGGTTTAAAACGCGATATATTAGTTAACTAAAGTTTAACTAATATATCGCGTTTTAAACCGTTAAAGTGTTTTATTTAAATGTGTACTACTCGCGTAAACTATAGACAGTATTAAAATAGCCTTTCTTTAAAGTACGTTAAAAGAAAGTTTCAATGACGACTGATAAGAAACGAGAGCTACTCAAACCCATGTTAGAGCTGATCTTTCACTGACAGCTACGTCGATAGCCATATTTCTATATCGCAACAAAAGAGGATATTGATTATTTAAACGATCATTTGTATGTGTATCTCGGATAAATGTTTACAGTACATTTCGAAACTCTAGGAGCATGGGACATTTAACTTTTGCCTCATACACAAACCACCTAACTGTAATTAACTAATTAGTATTCGGACATAATAGGTGCGGCCATAAACGCATCCGTTGTGACAAGCATTATAATAAGTCGGTGAATACCTAAAACTGCTTAGTCCTGAACGACTTACTGTTGGATGCTGAAGATGAATGACCTCTATCCGTAAATTCGGTGTCAGAAAATTTCGCATTTAAAGAAAGTTAATAAAACGTGAAATATTTATTCAAAAGAAAAAGGAAGAAAAATTTACGGGGCCAGGCTTTGAACCTACGATCTGCGTACCGCGTGTTACACGCACAATACTAATAGCACACCGCGTGTATCATATTTGTTTTTAAGTACGGTCTGTTATTTATCCGAGTAGCACACATTTAAATAAAATGGGTTTAACGGTTTAAACCCAAAATATATATTTACAACTTATTTAACTACGGCTCACGTTTCGGATGCTTTGCAGCAATGTGGTCACAGGGAACTGAAGGTGGAGGATGTCACTAATGTTAAAAGTGTTTTATTAATATTAATTATTAAATTAAATTCTTAAAATTATTAAGAATTTAATTTAATTAAGAAAAACCATATTTTCAATATATGTCATACGGTTGAGCCTGTGATAAACATTTATGTCAAAAACCCGCAACACTTTGGAGATTTGGATGAATGCCCATCTTGGCTCTGTCACTAATTGGACCTTACTATTGAATGCTGATAGACCACAACAGTCACTATCGCGGAAATAAGGGCCTTCTTCATTAGGAAGACATCAATTTACGAAATATTGATATTTCCACATAGGTACCAAGGGTTCTGTGCCATTGGCTAGGTAAAAAATATTCTTGTGTACTTTTTACGCCTACCTGTTCATTCTCATCATCTATCTAGATATCGCAGATAGAGTTCATTTTTACCCTCTCCGTACGGAACCCTAAAAATATAAAGTTTTTTTTAAATAACCACTTATGACTTTAACATATGTTAAACTAACTTAAAAATACAACTTTATTTCAAAATTTGCAAAAAAAAACAAAACAAATTAAATAATATTCAAATCTCAAAACAGATAACAGAATGAAAATGATAAAAGTCCTATGGTATTTTAACTGTAAAGTACGAAACTTCAGGACTTACTTAAGAATAAATAAATAATTATACCGCCTTCTGAACCGTTTAGGCTGTTTTATTTAACGTGTACTAGTGCAAATAATTTTGCAGTTAAGGGCTCTCTAGAAGATCTTTTATTTTCCTGTATAAATTGTAATAAATCAATCCTTTTATATATAGCTTTTCATATAATTCGTTTATGCCCAGATATAGTGCGGTAAGGAAGTGGAAACAATGTTCGTTGCAATATTTCAAAAGTTACATCGTTAAATAAATTTCAAAGAAACGCGAAATTACGCTCCATATTTGATAGGATTTTTGTTTACGCGCACGACGCCCTCCGGCCTCCTTTTCTCGCGGAAAATTACATGAATTACATATATTTTGATCTGATGTTTTTCGGATGCAGTGAAAGCTGGTTTTTAGTGCTTTTTTCTTTATGTGAAATGTTGTTATCTGGGATTTTTGCGAAAAGACACAAGGCACGACATATTTTTAAAATTCTTAAGATCAGTAAGTAATGTTATACTCCAAAAATATTAATTTTGGTTAAACCAATCCTAGATACTGTCTATAGTTTACGCGAGTAGTACACATTTAAATAAAACACTTTAACGGTTTAAAACGCGATATATTAGTTAAACTTATTTGAAAATTATTTTTAACTTCGGCCCGACGTTTCGGATGCTTTGCAGCAGCCGTGGTCACGGGGAGACTAAAGATGGAGGATGTCTCTGACGTCAAAGTAAAAAATTGCTACGCTAGCTAAACCAATCCTTTTGAATACCCTGTCTATATGATGTTTTAATTTGTATGTCTACTCCGGCTCAGTGATGACGGATAAGTTGGCTTCCCTGTACTATAAGTTATATCGTTGTATATCTTACTATTCTCGTGGTTACAAGGAAAATGAAATAATATTTTATCAGCAGAAACAACGTAACAATATCCGAGACGAATTGTCATTATTGAAGGCTGATAAGGCAACGAGTACACGATAAGCGTTTCTTATGAAGTAAACGGTAAGGGAGCCCCGGATGCTGTAAAGAGTGTTCCCTAGCATTGCGTTGGTCTTTGTTAATCGTATCGATTTGTATTGTCTGCAGGATGTAAATAACTCGTTGATACGCAACTCGTACTTTGGTTCAGTGGTTTAAGCCATTCTTTTGTGTCCACCTCGTTCCCAGCAGTTAAAGAGCTACGGCTAGAGAGAAATCTTTAACTTTATTAATATTATTTTTAAATTATTTATATTTTCTTAATCTAAAATTGTTCATCTACAAGAGCACAGTGATCGAAAATTTGTTAACATATTTTTTATACAAATAATAGTTAAATTCATGTTCGCCGTAGTTAATTGAGCATATTTATTTTCCCCCTTATATGAAATCATGTTTGTTGTTATTAGTCCACTCTGCCTCTAGCCGCCTCGTATTGAGTACTATAAGCTACATACAAACGTTAGCGGTACGATTGTTGGTCTCAGTCGCAATTGCGGTCCGAACGTCAGTTATTACCCTGATTGCTGCTTCACAATGCGCTGGAGCTGAATGCATCTGCAGTGGAACGTACGATTATATAACGTCCACCAGAATTCCTATTGATTATTAAGGCAAATGAAAGAAGCAGTTTTTATGTCAAAAGTTGGTTAAAACCACATGATATGCATTACAGGTTTCACTTCGTATGCTCCATTGGCATTAATAATTAAACGGATATTATAATAACAATCTTATTTCAAGGTTGCGATCTTTCTGTATTTCTATGTTGAGTATAATTGATTTTACTCAACTAAAAATACAAAAAACTAAATATAATTTACTGGTTTATAAATATAAATTACTTCTATTGGTCGCAGCTTGATATTTTATAGCCTTCCTCGATAAATGCTCTAACCAAAACAAAATCTTTTTTTATTCGAACTAGTAGTAGTTCATCAAAGATTAGGCTTTGGCTTTATAATATTAGTATAGATTGTACAATATTATTGTGATTGATATTTATTGTAAATGTGTCAGATGATGGAGCAATGTTTTTGCGCGCCTGGGTATCGAAAGGGCTCATATTGACCAAACCAATTCCCACGCCACAATAAACCGACTGGCTAATACCGTTTCATTCTCAAAAATGTCACCTACCCTTGAATGGGAAGCCTTGACTCGACACTCGCCGCGAATAGCTCTTGAAAATAGGATGAAGACAAGTCCGCGGGGCTTCGGCCACGCGACCGAAGCCCCCCAACTACGCATATCAGATTAATGCGGTTTACGGCCGCCGTCAATTGTGTAATGTATCGAATTTTAGCTATTCTAATTACATTAGAATGCGGTAATGTCTCCAATTGCGTGTCTAGCTTTAAGGATTTGCTTTCTACTTACGCCTATTGGATAAGAGCCAGAATGATACCTTACCCCTAGTAGCAATCTTTACTTTAGTCTTTGTTTTTAGTCTTCATCCATTTTGTAATACTTAATAAAACTTAGGCTTATCTAATAACCGAGAATGGCCTAGCATAATTGTAAATTTATTTTAATTATTTTTCTATTAATTTCATCTTATATGTTTTATTAATTCTGGATCA